AATCCAATGGCAAACGCAGAAGAGGGCGGCACACCTTCTGGTCGAAGGGCGCCATCTTGGATCCAGCCGCCCAAGGGTTGTCGTACGTCGAGTCCATTCCGGCGAAATCCCAGAAGCTGCTTCCAGGGTCCACTGTCAGCTGCAGGACCTCGTCCACGTAGAACCTGAGCGAACGGGGCGAGGAACGGAGAAATAAAGAGAAGTAGGGCCGCTAAAGGGGGACAGAACGAAAGCTAAAAGGACGAACAGATCAGTTGAAACATACGGGAGGCTGTTGAGAGTAGTGAACAGATGAGATATGAATTGAGAAAGATCTACAAAACAGCCAACACAGACTTGGACCCTGAAATTTGATATCCAAAACTTTATTTCAACAACAATTGCATGAACATCAGATTAGAAAGGAGAGTAAAATTATTTCAGTACAGAATACAGGACACAGACAGGGCAAGCACAGCGCTGAACAGTAGAGAGAAACGGATCAGCAAACAAAGGCAGGTAGAAATACAAGCACAGCAATAAAGGAAAGGATAAGAGAGAGGGCAGAAGGAGGCAACCCCAAACGACGCCCAAAGATTCTGGTTTGGGTCTCAAGCTTACTCCATCTTGTCCTTGGTCCAGTCGAGCCTCCATACGTGGAAGTCGTCGGCGAAGGAACCTACGTTCGCCGCACTGAAAGTAAGGGAGAGGTTTTCTCAACTGTTTGTCTGTCGCTGTTTTACGGTTTGGGTGTCTCGAATTCGAAAAAAATTGCATATGTACTCGTTCATTCCCCCGCCTGGAGTGATGAGCGACTGAAACAATAATGTATCCAAAGAAGCTAAGAGAATATGTAACCTAGCAAGACAAATCAAAAAGAAAAAACAAAATAAATCAATCAATATACAATTCAACCAATGCAATAAGATGAATGAACATGTAAAGCCTGAACTTACTACTCGGCGTGGGTCTTCTCGAAGAAGTTGTGCGGCCAGAAGGGTCCCCAGTGCAGCGTCGTCCCTCCGTACTGGTTGCCGAGGTTGCCGAAGTCGTCGTTGCCTGCGGGAGAAGGCGTGTAAGCGCTTGCATGGAGTGCACATGGGCCAGCATGTATGTGCTCTTTATGTGCGACTGTGTACATGTATACATATGCTCTGCGTGTGTGCGGAATGAACTCTCAAGGCTTCCTGTGGGCTCTCCGTTGAGGAAGATGTCATGGTCACTGATGGTGACTAATAAAAGAATGGCAGCGACTGACCACCAGCCATGTGGCCGAGTGCCAACTCCCACTGACCCTCACTCCCGAATGCCACAGCGACCAACGGCCCCGTGCGACTCACCCCTGGACTCCACGATGTCGATTTCGCCGCTGGCTGGCCACGGTCCGTAGGGCCAGTTACGGGACAGCATCCAGATGGCTGGAGGGAACAGGGTTTGGGCTTGGGACGTGGTCTAACACGTAAATGTCGTCTATAAAATCATTTTCTGAGGCAAAGACAGAAAGCTAAAGCATGTTCCTTCTTCACATTTTCCTGAATAGAAACGAAAAAACAATATTCATTACGGAAGGAAAAAAATCTTGCGTCATGACGTCACAAATCTTTCTCCTTACCTGGCCACAGCCAATCACCGCGAGGCATCTTGGCGCGAATTTCAATTCGTCCGTATCTGTCGAGTGCATTAGAAACATGGGTACAATAGGCAGGCACTATAGTCCCACAGAACTCATTCTATGTATCAGTGGATACGAAAAGCCGCAGCAACCAGTGGCCTTCGCCCACGCACCTGAAGGCGAAGCTCGACAGGGTCCTGAGACGAGCGCTGACGATGGGGTTGATGATGTTGCTGCTGGAGGCAGTCCGCGAGCAGCCCGAGTAGATGTTGGCGGTGCACACGTCCCCTCGGCCGTTCATCCCCCACAGGTCGAGGGTGCCGCTGGTCAGGAACGCCTCGTCCTTCCAGTTGGAGGTCAGGTCCTGCGGCAGGAAGAGCCTTCTTCAGTGCTCGTCTCAGGACCTGTCGAGCTTCGCCTTTCAGGTGCGTGGGCGAAGGCCACTGGTTGCTGCGGCTTTTCGTATCCACTGATACATAGAATGAGTTCTGTGGGACTATAGTGCCTGCCTATTGTACCCATGTTTCTAATGCACTCGACAGATACGGACGAATTGAAATTCGCGCCAAGATGCCTCGCGGTGATTGGCTGTGGCCAGGTAAGGAGAAAGATTTGTGACGTCATGACGCAAGTTTTTCCTTCCGTAATGAATATTGTTTTTTTTCATTTCTATTTAGAAAAAAATGTGAAAAAGGAACATGCTTTAGCTTTCTGTCTTTGCCTCAGAAAATGATTTTAGACTTGAACATTACGTGTTAGACCACGTCCCAAGCCCAAACCCTGTTCCCTCCAGCCATCTGGATGCTGTCCCGTAACTGGCCCTACGGACCGTGGCCAGCCAGCGGCGAAATCGACATCGTGGAGTCCAGGGTGAGTCGCACGGTTGGTCGCTGTGGCATTCGGGAGTGA